GAGGGCATTAGTGCACTCATTCGCTTAAATCAGTATAGCTTAACTTCTCTCATGTTCAGTAGTTCTAAGTAGTACAATTCTAAGGCAAGTAATTAGGAGCATTCTACGGAAAAAAAGGAAAAGTAATAATATTTAAGTGAGTAGAACTTTCAAGTTTTGGTTTGCAGGATTTTGGTTGGTTTTAAGGTTAATCAACAACTGACTTCAGTCAGAGCATTATTAAAAACCAGGGAGTATTGGATAGTCGGTTGGCCCTAGTATGGGACTCTTCATCAGTACGCATTCATGAACTCACCACCAGGGATCGAAACCGTGACTTCCAGGTGAACCAGTGAGCCACTGGAACGGAATCCAGTGGCCCATAAATTTTAACTGCTGACAGTTATCAGCAGAACTTTGTTAAATAGCGTTTGTTTATTTATTGTTATTATTATTGACTATTAAATCAGCACAGTGTGCATCTGCAATTGGACAACCTGGAGGTCCCGGGTCTGATCCCATGTTGGGTCGTGGGTATGCAGTACTGAAGAGTCGCAAGACAGGACTAAACAGTTGTCTTGGGCACCCTGATTTTCAATAGTCTCTCTAACTAAAGTTTCTTTCATGACGAAGTTTACCAAATGAAATTAAGAACCTATCAGGACATTCTATTTATCCAACACAGAGAGACAAAGAGGTTATTCTGATGATAAGATATTATTTTATTGCATAGGCGTAACCGACATTACTTTCTGAATACTGACACACAGTATTGTTGTTGTTTGAAACCAATGCTCACTATACTAGAGTCCGAGTAATAGTACAAACTAATAATACGTCGGTTCTTGATTTCAGTGCTAATTAGCGTCTAAATACGATACATATATATTTGATTATTTGTTTCTTAAGATAAAATACAGTTTTCTTCCATTTTCAACCTGTATAGTCGTATTTATTACGGAGAAAGCTATTAAATGGTACCAATGTAAATGTTTAGTCAATATACTTATGATAAAAATAAAGATAATTAACATGATGTTTAAGGGAGGGTGGGTGGGTGGCTGTAGAGTTGAAGTGAATGAATTCTAAAATTTTAAAAGGTTAAATAACTGAATTTGTATAATAATAATAATATACGTTATTCCAAAAACAGTACTTGTGATACAGAATGGAGTTTTCAGCATTAATCACAATATTGCATCTAATTTCCTCAAATTATAAATAAAATTAATCACACAGAAAATTTTCCACATTTACAATAGGGGTAATGTCAAAAACATGCAGCATATAAAATGGAAATAATAATAATAAGGATAACAGCTAAAGTAATAATAATAATAATACAAGTGAAAATTTCCGTGGGCTTGTTTCACACAGTATTGTCGATGCGATATAGAAATTCTAGCATGTTTAAAAATATTGAATATAATGTTCTCTTTACATGATATGGTTAGGGGAAAAAACAAAGATTACAGCAGTAATAGAGATAAGTTGGTGTTTGCAATTATATTTTTATTTTTATTATAGCTTTTGGTAGAAGTGTGGAATTTTCAGCATGTGATATCGGTAGCCCAAATTTTGCAGGCCGACCATAGATATTAGGTGTGCGTCGGCAGGGTGTTGAACTCCGGACCATATGCATGGTCGGCGAGAGTCCTAACTGATGTGCCACCGACGCACATGAAAGTAAAACAAAGAAGCAACAGGACCATAAATATAATAGAAATAATAAAAGTAAAACTTGAAGGTATATAAGGATGGATGGAGGAAATTGTTTATTTACTAGATGACAAAAGGTTAGTCAATTCTTGCCTGACACTATTTTCATCACATAAAATACGTGCCAAGTATGGTATCATAGAATTTTTATACTTAGACGTGCGAGCATACAGTTTTCTGAAGTTACTTCTTGTTCTACCTGAGGAGATGCAAGGTGAAAGCTGAGGGTGAAGTAGATGCTCCAAGTCAGACAAAATCCCTTTAGCGAATTTACTGCACGAAGTCAAATGCCTATCGACAACGATGTTAACTATGTAGTCCACTGGGACACCACTCATCCTGCTGATAGTCTTCAGCATTCTACTCCCACAGGACTTGCCATATTTACGTATGTAGTTACCTGGGGTTCTAGTGGGAAGTCGTGACCAGTAGGGTGCAGCAGGTCGGGTGTGAGGACAAATACTCGCCGAAGACATTGGCTAGGGGTCGCGCTATGTCGTGAATTGGCAGAAGTTAGAATTCATGGGCCGTTGGATTGGGTCCCAGTGGCTTAATGGTATACGAGCTCGCCTTGTAACCAGAAGATCCTGGGTTCGAATCCCGGTGGGTGCGTACTACCGAAGAGTCCCCAACTAGGACGAAACAACTGTCGAGTACTCCCAGGTTTTCCAATGGTTATCTAACTAATGTCAGCTCATGATGAAAATCCTGTAACCAACCAAATCCCTACAAACCATCACTTAAAACCTAAAACCCAGTAACACTCCATCATAACAGTCCTAAAATTGTTCGACTCTTGTGTAGTGCATCGATATTCTTCTTGCTTTGGTGTTCAGATTGTACGAATCTGTGTAACTTACTAATGGCTTAGGTATGCTATTACTGACCCCGAAATCACGAAGTTGACTGAGCCTTTTGATTAAGCGCTTGCAATTCGAAACAAAATGCATGTATGTGTTAGTTTATTGATTTATTGAAAATCTTTGGAGTGTACTACACTCAGGTAGCTAGCAAATATTATCTCTGTCCACCGTTAATCATGTAAGCAATTACTCATGTCATTCCTGAGTACATTTTTAATCTTATTTATTTAATATTTTATTCCTTTACCTTCTGAGTGGAGCATAGAGCTTCAAGTTAGAGTTTTGAAGTTTCGGTAGTGATGGTTTTATTTTATTTTTACGGGGTGAGGTTGCTAACCTCACATCCAACCTCTTCTTTTTACCGGCCTCACTACCGGCTTAGCGAGGTTTAGGAGTGTGTCGACCGAGGATCGATCCCCGGACCACGTGCATGGTTGGTTAGCGTTCTGTCGGTGAACCACCGACGCATCCATTTTTAATCTTAACAGTCATATTATTTCCAGATCGCTAATTTTTGATTTAATCATTGTTTATTTCATATGTTTGAATGAAAAGTAAATAAAAATTACATCGGGTCCCAGTGGCTCAGTGGTCTACGAGCTCGCCTTGTAACCAGAAGGTCCCGGGTTCGAACCCCGGTTGGTGCGTACCGCTGAAGAGTTCCAAACTAGGATGAAACAGCTGTCCAGTACTCCCAGGTTTTCCAATGGTTCTCTAACTGATGTCAGCTCATGATGAAATCCTGCATGAAATCAAAATCTGCTTCTATGTAAAATCGTCTATAACTACCTTCATTGTTTTCCACTTTTCATGTCTGGGAGGTATTATTTTGAAAGTGATTAATGTGAAACTTAAGAAATCTCTTCCTGAAGTTCATATGCAAATCATGTACGACGTATAAGTAGCAGTCAAAATAAAATCTAATATAATATGAGTGTTCTCCGCTCTTCAGAATGCTTAAGTAGTGATTCAAAAACAAAGTAGAAAAACCAAGTGTTAGACAAAGAAAGTTAAATATTTCCATACCACCAGCATCGTTTTGGGATTATGTTACCTATGTGATTTTCTTAAAATTTAGAGTCTAGCAAAAAGCTCACAGTTTTGAGGATGATCTGTCATGTCAGTTAACGACCAATATATGTTAACACTTTTTATCTTGATGTATATTGATTACGGCGTTTCCTCTATTTTGTCTCTGACACCCCGATAGTACAGCTAAGGAAATAAGTGGAATGTTACGTGATTATAGTCTCTTCATTACTCTGGTATACTACTGTTATTTAGGAGGATATAACTTAGATGATGCCTTTTAATTTGTGTAAACAGCCCTTTTTAAATTGCGTATGCTATGCATCTTCATCCATACTTTAATCTAAACATGATTAACTTATAATATGCGAGTGATATTGTCCTTCTAGCTGAAGACGCTGATAAAATGTAGAGTCTTCTGAACCTCTTGAGTAGGAATCTCAGTATGTTCTCATGATTCTCCTGTGTCAAATTTAAGATGATACTGTAGGACTGGTCTGTACCGACTGGTAGTTTGAAGATAAAGAGTGTAGTGGTCGGGCCTGTCGATCACTTCACTTACTTTTAGGAAGTGTTGTCAGTTCTAATGAACTGATTTCTGATGAAATCTCAGCACTGACACAAAAATCTCGGGTGACATTCTATCCGATGTGCTAACTAGTATGATATGGTGGGTAGTATCTAGGTTAGTCACAGAGTGTTAGGTAAGGAGGGCAAGTCAATAGATGAGGTTGTGAAGCTACATCGATTGGGATAGCTTGTAAAAATGTCGCACATTTCAAGTCGCCGTCTTTCTTGTCGACTAATGTTCGACAGCATATGGTTAGGCTGTAAAAGAGTTGGAATCGGTTAAACCAAATGCTAGCATCACTCCACGAAGTCTTTGACAGTTCGTTTGAGCCAATCAAGTAGGAAGGTATAGACCGCCTGGTTCAGGTGGATTCACTCTTTGTGATGTCCCAGATCCATTCAATCCTCGTTTTTTTACACACCTCTATTCTTTCTCGCGTACATTTATGGTCCGTATAGTTCCTTTGAATCTCTTCTCTCCTTTCTCTACCTACATGGAAGTAGTGTGGCAAGTTGAACTGTGCTGAAAGTCACTCAGTCTACTTTACCATCTGCTTGTTCAGGCAGAAGAGATTGGAATGCATTTAGCTCTTCTGGATCAGTAGTCATGGACGAAGCCTCTAGACTGCTGAATCACAACTCCTAGTTTCTTTCATTGCTCTTGTGTTAACCCTAACACTTCTTACAAATAATATGCTTAAGAAAAGATGCCGAAGTCAGCGTAGGATAAATCATGTATACCCTAACGGTTTAAATAATATTATACTACTGAAATACCTTGTGGTTTCCCCACATTCTAATGCATCCCTAATTACTTATTTTCCTTTTTTGTCTATTTAGGAAAATAGTCAGCCTGGTTTCACTTCAAATTCATTCAGTCTAGGCGATCACTTAAATCCACTGGAATCTCAAGAATCTATGAATGCGAATCAGTTGACAGTATCTAATTGTAATTGGCAATTTATTCCGCATACTTCCTTAAATAGTCCAATAATAATTCGTGAAGAAAACAGGAGACAAAATACTATCCCTCCACCGCCTGAATATCCGCCTCCACCGTTACCGTCAAATTCATCTAAATTTACAGATCTTCCTAATTTATGGATTCCAAATCCTACAACTGGAGATGGTTTACAAAGAGGTGAATTAAAAGATCAGCAGCAGCAGCAGCATCAACTACGTTTTGTCTCAGATGACAGCAGTTTACCAAGTGGTGGAAGTGAGTGTACTTGTTTATTTCAATTTTGATCATGAATTGAATTCAGTTGGGGGGACTATTGAAACTACCAGAATGTACTGGAGGGCTGTTTCGTCCTGGTGTGGGGCTCTTCAGCACCACGCGCCCATGAGCGCACCGGTAGGGATCGAAGCCTAGACCTTCAGGTTAAAAGGTGAGCTCGTGTACCATTCAGCCACTGGAACGAAGTTCGATGGCCTACTAATTCTAGCTTCTGCGAATTTGCGATATAGCGTGACCACCAGTCAACGTCACCAGTGATTATCTGTCCTCACGCCCAACTTGGTGAATCTCGTTAATCACGACCTCCCACTTTATTGTATCGATCTGTTAAAATTTTCTCCATTATTATTATTGTCACATACGCTTACTTTTGAATAGATTTAGGGAGAGTACCTATTTATAGTTAGTTGATAGTAAAATATAGTTGACGCCTGAAACTGTTAGGCATATTCGTTGTGTTGAGGATTCAAGAGGAGCAGAGAACATAATCCGCAATTGAAATTTCATCGTTTATTCGTTTTGAATATATGCTGTATGTCGTCCGACAGACGGGAACAGGCTTAGCTGCAGGATAGGCTCTGGTTAGTGACGTCCTCAATCTTCTGTTGACAATTGCTGTAATATTTTCACCTTTATATTCAAGTTGAATGTAGATGGGCTTTTTTCCCACAGTGATTTGTTTGACATTTGAGCCTTAAGATCTTTCGTGCTTTTTAATGAACCTTTGAGGGTAACCATTGTTTTTCAGCGTGTTTTCGAGAAACATAAATTCTTCCTCTAATTTCTCTGCAGTGAATATTCTTAACTTAAAAATCCCCATTAAGTCACGTAAAAGAAAAGACGTTCATGGAAGTGTTACTCTTTTCAGTGATATCGTACATATGATTAATTTTCTTTCCTAAAGAAAGCAAATAACTGTATTCTTTGTGGGATGGGCTCGAATTATTTTTCACCAATAAATATACTTAATACTTTGCTTCTTGTTGAAGTCATTTTCATGCTATGGCCTTGTTAAATTTTTGTGTAAATCCCAAAAAAATATATATATTTTTTAATATTGTTCTATAGTTTCGGTGTCGTTTTAGTAATTGAACCCCTTTAATCCTTTCTATTCCTGTTATTATCATTCTCACCTGAAAGAGACCAACTGTGTACAACTGACTTTTCACTTTTTTTTAACTTACTGAATGCAAATTTTTTTATGATTAAATTAGTCCTGGATGTGTATTCTATTGTTTCAGGTTTGTAGGAGTCGTCCTTCTAAATTCCCCTGAGATCCCAATCTTAAGTAACAAACGGTCACTATTACTCGAAATTGTTTTACGTTTTTATCCCAAACAATAGGGATTAGATTATCATTTGATGGGCTGTTGACTGACTACATTCCACTTAAACGACCAGTCATTTATCCATTAAATAGTTCACAAATCGGTTCGTTGTCATCTCCTTCGTCGTGTGTGGACTCCATATGAAAATAAAAGGCAGTCACTTTGATTGGACATTAGTAACTAGTGTTATGTGTCTAGACCTTGCTGTTTGGTGCAGACTGAATTCTATCAGTCAGGTTTGCAATGTAGCCACGATGATTCTAGGTAGCTCGCCATCAAGGTGCAGGTCAATCGCGAGCCCGAATAGCTCAGTGGTAACGTCTCTGACTGCAGGCAGCAGTGGGTTACGCGGGTTCGAATCTCTAAAGGGACATGAGTTCCTTCAAGGTTGCAGATACGCCTTGCTGACTGACTGGTGAGTTCCAACTAGCACGAAACCTAGGTCAAGCAAGGCTTTCTGTGGCCGATTGCCTCCAACCATCTAATATCACCAAAAGGCACTCAGCTAAACTGGAAATTTGTTTTACAAAAAAATTCACCCTTCTAATGTCCTATGTTTTAAAAGACTGATTAGTGAACAAAGAAAATTTTTTTCGATGACTGCTTTAGCAAAAATAATTGTTATTGACAGCATTCATGTTTTTTTTAATAACATGGAATCAATAAGATTAACACATACTTTAGTTCAAAAGCATCTGTAAGTGATAACATACATCAGTATAACTAGGAATTTATGAACTTATAGATCCTATAGCAGTTTAGAATAGCATTTGTAGCTGCATCTGTTTCTTCTGCTCTATGAACACAGTTTTCCATGCTCGGGATTACCTACCAGTGTGACTGAATACGGGTGTGTTGAAAACAACCCTTGTCCAAACAGGGCATAGAGTTAGTTAGTGGGGAAAAATCTTTCTCTATCATCTATCAGGCATCAAATAAATTGTCAAAAGCCTCTAGGTATTGAATACTCTAAACAGCAGAAATAATAGTGATTTGCTTAAAACAGCCGGAGCTCTGTGTGCAAAAGAAACAGGTCCAGCTATTATTGCCATACCTATAAACTCATCAATTCTGCATTACTTTCCTCAATTTATCTGATATTCAAGTGTTGGTTTGCAGGATTTCGCACATGAACTGACATCGGTTAGACAACCATTAGAAGACCTGCAGGAAGTACTGGGTAGCTGTTTCGTCCGAGTTTAGGACTCTTCACAGTAAGCACACACTGTGGGGTTCGAATCTAGGACCTTCCGGTTGGTTATAAGGCAAGCACGCAGACCATTAAGCCACTGAGACCCAATCCAATGGCGATATTCATTGATGCATACTATCACCTATAGATGCTTTTGATGTGTAATCTGTAGATCTTATGTATTCGATGTTATTTATTTATATATAAAACGTCCATGTTGTTAATAACAATAATTGCTTAACCATTATAGACACATATAATTTTAGTACCTGATGAATAGGAAGTTATCGAGACGAAAATTGTTCGTTCACTAAACGCAGTCTTTTAGAAATTTTATTGAACATGTTCAATGTTTTTCTGTTGTTATTGTTGTTGTGATTCTCCTCTCTAGCTTTCCTCTTTCTCTATGCTTCTTCGTCTTAGAACTTATATAATTTTTTTGTGTTCTCTGTTTCATTTGACTAATGAATCAGGTTTCTTTGAATGAGATTATAAATTGAACAATTTATTGGTATGCTTCTTTTTTATTGCTATTTTCCATCACTCTGCATTGTCTTTGTTCTGAAGTGTGTGTATGTGTGAGTGCGTGATGTGTCTTCGTCTATATCCATTTTCTGTGTTTAATCTTCGTGTGTGTGTGTGTGTGTGTGAGTATGTGTGAGAGAGAGTCTCATTATTTGTGCATTAAGCTCAGGTTTTTGGTTTTGTATCATTTTTCTCTAATTTTATTTTTAATTAGCCGTATTTACTCCTTCTCTCTGACGAACACCTGTTCTTGTTATTCGTTTGTATGCTAAAGGGTACATCTTTTTCTGTTTTTTATTGCATTGCATTGCATAGTGGTAACAGTGTTCATATGTTTCACATTTCTGTGTTATGTGTGTGTGTGTGTTTGTCAATTGTAGGTCATGTGTAATTGTGTAGTTAAGTTGGTTGTTGGTATTTTTCTGCTTTTATTCCTTCACATCGTCTTCTTTCTTATCTAGCTATATGTTCTTCAGTTTTAGAGTCAGTCGGATTGATGTTTCCTAACAGTTACTAAGCTAACCTAACCTAACCTAACCTCATTGTAATACACCGAATTGATTAGTCATTACGTTTTTTCTTCATTCTTTTTTCATATTCTGGATAATAGACAGATAAAATTTTAAGAATTGGTTAGCTGATAGTCATAGTGTGTATAGGATTTTGTAAGTGTGCTTTTGTGTTTCAAGTTCGATCACAGATGGATATCAGTTAGAGAAGCATTGAAAAATACCAGGGTCTACTGGACACAGCTGTTTCATCCTAGTTGGGATCTGTTCAAAAGCACGCACTCACGACCCCACCATTGGGGTGAACCCTGGACATCATCAATGGGCATCAAGGATGCCCATTATCCCCATTTCTGTTCAGCTTCATCATAGACGTACTAATGGACTTAACCGTAACTCACTTCAGAGACTCAGGGATTGACTTGCTACCAGGGAATAATCTCTTTGACTTAGAATATGCAGACGATATAGTCATTCTAGGCGAGGACGCTGACAAAATGCAGAGTCTTCTGAACACCTTGAGCAACAATCTTCGTATGTTTGGCATGCGATTCGCCTGTGTAAAATGTAAGATGATGTTGCAGGATTGGACTACACCGACCCCTAGATTAGAAATAGGAAGTGGAGTGGTAGAGCATGTTGACCGCTTCACTTACTTGGGAAGTACCGTCAGCCCTAACGGGTTGATCTCTGACAAAATCTCAGCACGAATACAGAGGGCTAGGTTCGCATATGCCAGTTTACGCCGCCTCTGGCATAGACGTGATATCCGACTATCGACCAAAGGGCGTGTGTACTGCTCAGAAGTCTGCTCCGTCCCCCTTTATGGCTGTGAGACCTGGCCATTGAGAGTGGAAGACATAAAAAGATTAACTGTCTTTGATCATAGGTGTCTGCGTTCTATCTCCCGTGTGAAGTGGTATAATAAGGTGATTAATATTGAGGTTAGGCGTCGAGTGCCAGGTAAGGCGGGGAAATCAATAGACGAGACTGTGAAGTTACATCGACTGAGATGGTTAGGACATGTGTTACGTATGTCTAGCCATCTCCTTCCTCGACAACATACAATGTTAGCTGACATGGGGTCAGGCTGCAAAACCAAAACGGCGGTCAAACCAAAACATGGCACCAGTCAATGAAATCTACAACAGTTAGTCTAAGCCACGTAGGAAGGTGTAGACTTCCTGGTTGGGGTCCTCGGGATGGTAAAAACCAATGGTTGGAAACAATTGGTGACATGGCTCAAAGTGATCGTTCTCAATGGCTGGCGCAGATGCATCCACTCCTTGTGACTTATGATTTCCAATGAAACTGTTTTGTTCTTCGTTATTACTATTCCTTTGTCTCACACCTCTGTTTACTGTCTATATTATGCATTTCTCCTACTTTCTTCTCTTTCTTTGTGTGCTACAAGAAGGGAGTGTG